TAACTTCAGATTTGTTTCTATTTCCTGAGTTTGCTAAGGAAAGAATGGAAAACCAACCCTTCTATTTGTACTGTGGCTTGTTCTCTTTTATTAGGAAGTATATCAAGCATACAGTGTGGAGAAGAATATAAGCCATGTCTGTGGACACATCACCCCCTCTGACAAATTCCAACATTACTCTACATTTGATGAAGATTTTAAAAAATAAATGAAATGTTACACATATCGTTGAAATCAGTGTCCTGCTTACCCTCGCAGATACCACTCCCCCGCCCCTCCCAAGGGTCTCCCTATTACTGATTTTGATATTTATAGCCTTCCTGTGCATGTTTTTATACTTCTGTTACCCAGACGGTGTGTACTGATAAACAATAAAGCACTAATTTACATGTTTAGAAACATTACATAAATAATAGCCTTTTGCAATTTGCTCCCCTATCCTCCAGCTCAACATTATGTTTTTGAGATGTATCCCCATGGATCCATGTAGCTCTGGTTCATTCAATTTAACCATTGACTAATATTCAATTTTATGAAAACACCCCAATTTGTTTATGTATGTTCATAGGTTGTTTCCAATTTTTCTTTAATACAAAGTGTCAACGAACATTCTTGTACACTTCCTTGTGCCCCCGTGCTAGAGTTCCTCCCAGGTATTTATTTACCTAGAAGGGAAACTGCTCATCAAAGGACATGTTTAGCTTTAGCATTACTGCTTATTGCCAAGTTGCTTTACACAGGAGTCACACAAATTTCTCAATAGCAGTGTATGTAAGTTCCCTTTAATCCGCATCCTGACCAACACATACCAGTTCCTACCCACGTGATTGCTAAAGGGTCCTGTCCTTCTCATGCCATGGTTGCACACATCAATTCAATTGACTCTCGTAGAAAACCTAGGTAGAGGTGGCACAAGCCATATTTATGACTACCTGGCAGGAAGGCGCACTGAGGGGCGGGAGGGGATGGTGAGCCCGACACAGTGGTTGAGGCCAATCAGGGCCCGACCGAGCCTCGCAGTCTTGGATTCCCAAGCATTCACCACACCATGGGGACCAGGTACATGGTTGGAGCACAAACTCTGCAGCCCATCATTAGAGAATCAAAGATACTGAGATACTGTCTACTATATGCAAATGTCAACAACTACCCACGTTAACAGAAGGCAAGATAATTACCTTTTTTTGGAGCTTTATATTTCACAAAACACTTACGTCCATTTCTCTTTTGATCCTGACAACAACCCTATTAGAAACACTTGGATTATTACTGCTCCCACTTTACAGATAAGAAAAATGAGGCTCATAGCTAGTCAGTAGGAGATCAGACCTTGAACATGTTTGCCTTTCAAGCATGTCTTCTGTATGCACACTTGGAGATGGGTGTCAGGGAATTCTCAATATGTCCTGTGAGCACAGGTGGGCCTGTGCCATCTCTCCCAGTCTTCTGCACAAATTCCTTTGGCAACTGAGTTCACACCACAAACATGGAACATTTCCTCTCATGTTGAGGCTCAGCTCCAGCTTTTACAGATCTGGAGTCAGCCTGCAATAACATTCTGGCTTAGCCACCTAACAGGTGTGTGATCTTGAGCAAGTTACTTCCTCTCTGAGCCTCAGTTTTCTCATCTGTAACATGGGAATGATATAGCACCTACCTCCGAGCAAGGCTGTACGGACCAGCTGGGACAGCACATATACAGTGGCAGGTGCGCAGAAAACTCTCAAACACGAGCTGTTATGATGAAGCCTGTGGCTACCCACAGGAGAGGGGCTATGGTCCTGGTGAGAGGAAAACACCATGGGCAGGCTCAGTACAGCACGTGTCACCAGTTATGGGAGTCAGGCCATCCACATAGGCTCAGTTCTGGAGATGCTGGTTTGTGGCACTCAAGCACGGGAGCAGAGGAGCCACAGCCAGAGGCAGGTGGCAGTCCTGCAGGAATGTCTACCAGGTCATTTGAAGGACCCTTGTAAGTCCCCATCTTTGTTTTTCTCATGGCTTAAAAAATGCTGAAGGATCCCAGCCAAGGGTTTATTGTGGCTGCCACAGCTATGGTGAGTGACCAGGTTGCTTCAGGTTGTTCTTGACAGAAAGCCTCATTGTCAACTAGTGATCTAGCCCCAGTGACAGAGGAGGAAGAACGCATGATCAGTAGGGAGGAGAGTTGGGGTCAGCTCCCAGTTCTCCTCTTTTTAGCTGGGTGAACTTTAGCCTTTGAAAGCCTCCGTCCGCAAGGGAACTAAAACCACCTATCCCACTCACCTCACAGAACTGTGACAGCGAATGAGATAGCGTGCGTGACAGTGCCATGGGAGTGTCAAGTGCCAAGGAAATGGCGGTTACTCTGTGCATGGCACTGAGCAGCTGCTGCCCTGCAGGGCGGATATTCAGCTGTGCAGGTGACGGGGTAGGTGAGCCACCCCCGCCCTCTCCCCTGCGTCAGGAACACACTTGCCAGGATGGCTGGTTCACTCCATGGTCATGGGGCAGTCTGGAGCTCTACCAGCCTTCCAGACACTAAATCTATCACTATGGCCTGGTCAGCTTCCTGTTCTAATCAGGTGAGACATTCAGCCGTGGGGACAATCACAGAGTCAGCTGTATGAGAGAGTCACGGGATGTATTAGTCCATTTTCTGTTGCTTATTAAAAAAATACGTGAAACTAGGTAATTTATAAAGAAATTTATTTCTTACAGTTTCAGAGGCTGGAAAGTCCATGGTCCAGCGGGCGCATCTGGTGAGGGCCTTCTTCTGGGTGAGCTCTCCACAGGGTCCCGTGGGTGACGCAGGCAATCACATGGTGAGGATGACAAGAGCTCTTTAACGTGATTACTTGCTCTCCTTATAAAGCCACTAGTACCACTCCTGCGACAGCCCATGTAAAACATTAACCCATTACTGCACGAATGGATTAACTCATTCACCAGGGCACAGTTGTCAAGATCCAATAGCCTCTTAAAGGCCCCACCTTTCAACACTGCCATAGTCTGACTTCCCATCCTCTTAATACTGTTACAATGGGGATCAAGCTTCATAAGTTTTGGGGAGACGTTCAATCCACAGCATGGGAGGGAAGTCATGGGCCTTTGGGGTCTGAATTCAAACACCAGCTCTGTCCCTTGCCAGCTGGTGGCCTTGGCTAAGTCACTTACCCTCTCTGAGCCTCACTAAAGTCCTTTGTAAAATGGGAGGGATAATGCCTATTTTGTGCTGTTGTGAGGAGTAAATAAGACTATATATGCTTGTCACACAATAAGTCTTCAACCAATGGTGGCTGCAAGTTTAATGTTCCTGGACCTCTAATTTCCCACCTGTGAATTGGGGACAATTGCTGCTCCCCGGCAAGGCTATTGTGAAGATGAAATGAGACAATGTATGAAGCAAGCACGGGATTAACTTATAACTGTAGGCTCCATGAGACCTGGGTGTGTTTTACTCCCCAGAAAACACTCGGTGCCTTTTAAGGTGCCTGGCACACACACAGTAGGCACTCTGTCAATATTTGTACAGTGAATGAATGAACTAAGTGCTCTCAAAATGATAATGGCAGATTACTTTAACTTCTCTGAGCCTCAGCTTCCTCATCTGTAAAATGGGCATATTAATACTTACCTGGGAGGGCTGCTGTGAAAAGTAAGGGCATAAAGCAGATGATCCAAACTTTCTCCAACACTGAGAATGCCTTGCACCCAGTTCCCTAGGCAGACACCACAGGAGGCAGCTGGGTAAGTAAGAGCAATGTTTACTGAGCAATACAGGACTGAGTACTATGAAGGGTTTACAAGGATGGAAATGCACCCCACCCCCACCCCGGCCACCCTGACACCCCCAACACCCAAAGACTACAGTACTGAGGAGTTACACATAATTGGTGGATATCTGTTCGTAACAAACAAACCATAGCATATTTATACTGTATCACATCGAGTGATTATAGAAATCCATATATATATTGCTTGTATAAAATCTTTTTTTGTAAAAAATATTAAAAAAAAAAAAAAAGAAAAAGAAAGTACAAAAAACATGTGCAGTTGAAAGCCCTGCCAGGACAGCCAGTCTGTAAACATTCAGTGAGTGTGTAAAAAATATTAAAAAAAAAAAAAAAAGAAAAAGAAAGTATAAAAAACATGTGCAGTTGAAAGCCCTGCCAGGACAGCCAGTCTGTAAACATTCAGTGAGTGTGTGCTTTGGAAGGGCGCCCGCGCCTCAGTGCCCACAGCAAACTCCAGCAGGGCCAGCGAGGGTGCGCCCGGCTGCCACCTCCTGGGCAGGGCTACACTGCACCCAGTGGCCAGGAGTGTGAGGGCCCAGTATGCCCCTCTCTGGCTTTGCATTGGGGCCAGGGGCAGGGCTGGGGACAGACAGATTGCAGTTTCACTCTGAGTTCTATCCTCAGTTGCCTTTTGGTCGCAACTCATGGCTTTTCCTGGCTGCTCGGAGGTCCCTCAGGTGGGTGTCCTGGCAGAGAGTCTGGAGCAGTGTCGAGGCTGCCTGGGTGGGCATCTCTGTGGCCCAGATGCCTCTGTCCTGCCTCTTTCAAGCTGGGCCCCAGGCAGGACAGCCCTACCCTTGGGTCAACTTTGGTCTCAGCGCTTGGTCCCTCTGGGTTTCTTCAGCCCCCTCTTCCCCTGTGTGGCTGATCTGAGTTTCACAAAAAAGCCTGGCCAGTGCTGGCTGTGCTGAGCCTCATTGAATAGTTTGTCATACACCAGGGAAGGGTCCTCTGGGACCCCCTCCTCTCCCCTCTTCGTCTCTCTTTCTCCTCCTCCCCCTCTTCCTCCTCCCAGCCATGGTCACTTCTTCTCGAGCTGCTCCAGCAGCGGGTTGCCTTCGGACTCAGGGGTCTTGACGCTGTCGGTCCGAACGATGCAGGTGGGGCGGTGCCGGTTCAGCATCAGGATGAGCTGCTGCCGCTCCTGCTTCAGCTCCTCGATCTGGGTCTTCAGCTCCGCGTTCATGAGTTCCAGGCGCTCAGACTCCTGTGTGCAAACACACAGACACGCTGTAAGCTTTCACCAGGGACCGGCTCTGCCTGTGGGTAGGCACGGGGCACTCAGGCTGGCATTTGCGTGTTTTCTGTCTGTTTTCTGCTAGGTGCCCGCTGGAGGAAGCACAGAACCTGCTATTGAGCCCCTGTGTTAACTGACTTTCTGCAGGCGGAGCCAATCATACCTGCGGCACTGGCCCACATCACAGTGGGACGAGTCCAGGTTATATTCTGGGGCTAGCCTGGCTCATGTCCTGCCTCCCTCCCCTCCCTCAATCCACTCCGACCTCAGGCCCTTTGCACAAGAAACAAAGGGTGAGAAAAGATCAGAGGCCCAGTGGGTCTACAGCAGGTTCATGGAGGGTCCATGGAGAGGTCCGAGGTGGCCTGTAGATGGCAGTGTAATGGCGAAGCACTCTGATGTGTGACAAATGTGTGTTGGGGATATTTTGACCTGTGGGATGAATGAGCCCATTGTGGTCATGTCACATCTCCTAAAACACGTGCTTCCTGGCTATTAGTCTATAATTATTTAAACAGCCTCTTCCTTATCCCCTATAATCTAGAAGCTTTGCCCACACAGGCAATCAACAGTCGTCCTGCAGAATCCAGAATGAGGTTTCACATAGACCTCAGGTGAGATTTCCAGTGAACTTCCAGCTCAGATGGAGAGGCTCCAGGGGAAGGAAAGAACACTTCTGATTTGATTTGAGGCTTTTATATGTTCATAATGTGCATAGGTGATGGGCACATCAATTCAAAGCTTGGGGTCAAACAGTAGAAGAGAAAAACATCTGAATAATTTTTCTCAGATTGTGTCTAAAAACTTATAACCAGTTTGAGAGTTAAAGTTTATTCAAGGGTCAGCCAAGTTGTAGACCAGTGGTTCTCCACTAGGAGTGATTTCACCTCCCAGGAGACATCTGAAAATGTCTAGAGACATTTCTAGTTTTCACAACCAGGGGGAGGGTGGTATTGGCATCTAGTGGGTAGAGGCCAGGGATGCTCTAAATATCCTCCCATGCACAGGACAGCCTTGCAACAAGAGCCATCTAGTCCAACATGTCACCAGTACAGAGACTAAGCCAGCTGTAGTTGCAGCCACGTGTGTGTGACAACTAGATGAACCACGAGCCCACGAGCTTGTCCCTCCCAGGGGCACTGCCATCCACACACCAGCCAGTCTGACCGAATTGTTCCTTGTGCTCATCTCTGAGGGGACCGCACGAGGGCCAGGGAATTCAGAACTGCGGGGATACACAGGCCTCGTGACCAGACACTGAGAGAAAACAGCCTCAAAAAAGGAAATAAATGCTCAGGGGGGAAATATTAAAAACCAGCGATGGTGATTTTTAGTTCAACAGGCAGAGACACGACTGAGAAGCTGGCCTGGCCCGCTGTTCTCAGAATTTTGAGAAAAGTCCATCTCTGAGTTCTAGGAGAGCCCCCATGTAAAATCATAAAAGTCTGTGATCAGTCAGTCTGGGGTAGTTAAGTGCCAATTCTAGCCACCTGCTCACTGGGTCTCACTAGCTGGTGACCCTGGAACTTCTCACAAACCCTCTGACTATCTAGTCCCCTCCAATCCAAGGTTTTAGCTCCTTCTTCAAATTCTCCTGAGCATCTGCCTCCAAGAGTCTCAGAGGAGGCCACTCGACCATGAGTATTTGTTGAGGACCTGCTGTGTACAGTGAAAGCTCTGGGGGAGTCCAGAAGCCATGAGCCCCCAACACAGCTTCTGTGCAGCTTCCCCCTCTAAGGGGAAGAAGAAATCCATACAGCAAGACAAAGCTTACTGTGTGGCCATCAGCCAGCCAGGTTTAGAAGGCCTTCCAAGAGGGCCAAATAGTGGCTCTGACCTTGGACTTGAAAGATGAGTTGACTCTGGTTGGGTAGAGAAGGCTAGAGAGGGAACCTCAGGTAGGGAGCCCTAAGTGAACAGGACACAGACATGGGAAAGCTTAAGATGTGTTTAGAAGATGAATTCCACTGTGATCACAGCTCACTTTAGAACATACTAGGGTATAAAGCAGGGAAAAGGGGTTTAGAGCCGAGCGTAGCTCTGGAAAGCTTGTAAGTTTAGAATCAGAGTCTAGAACAAGTTTCTTAACTTCTCCAAGCCTCAGTTATCTCATCCATAAAGAGGCGATGATTATGCGGATTAAATGAACTCACATGGGAAAAGCACTTAGTAAACCGAAGAATTAGAGAGGCTTAAGGATTTTTTCCTTTAACATATGAGCAAGAGAATAGTATGAAAAAGAAAGAGGACAAGAAGAAAAGGAAGACATTTCAAAGAAACATGGGCAGGTCTCAGTGACTGCCTGGATTTGGAGAAGGAAGAAGGCAGGGCAGAGAGCTGACCATGAGCCTGAAGGAAGGGTCCAGGAACACAGCGTGGGAGGGGTGCTGCTCTGGAGAGTGATGCGAAGGGCAAGGGAGGATTTGGTTTTAGGTACTGTGAGTCTGAAGCTAAAACTGGACAAGCAAGGGGAAGCATCTGACTCACAGAATTCAATCGTACTGCACAGATCTCCCTCCTTGAGAACACTGCATGTCAAAGCAAGCTTCTAGGCGGACATCGGAATCACACACAAAGACCAGTGAGACGTGGGGCAACTCGCTTCCCACATGCAGTTATCACAGGAAGGGCGTTCCATTCTGCTGGTGTACAAACGTTAGAGTATATCATGGAATATCCTGAACTCTGGCTGTCGGAATGTAACTAACTGCTTTTTAGTTTTATTCCCTCTGTACTCAAAGGGAATACATGTACACCATGGTTGGTGCTACGTATTTACATATTCTGTAAGTATAAATTGAGTTCAGAAGAATCTTTTTTTAGTTATCGGTTGGTGCTACGTATTTACATATTCTGTAAGTATAAATTGAGTTCAGAAGAATCTTTTTTTAACCATGATTGTAGAAGTGGATTGTGGCCTTATAACAGCAATTACCTGATTTGTTTTCCTAATTAATGAAGGAACTGGGCTAGGATCTTCCTCATGTTAATCATGAAGTGAATAACTGTATTTTTGTTTATTGTTTTGCCTTCTGGTAGATATTTATTGCCCTGGAGAAAATGAAACCATTTGTTGTTTGAGAATAGACTTAGTGCAAGTTAAGATTCTGCCTCCTATGCTGTGGTCAGCAAAGGCAATAGAAAAAATACAAGGTGAGGGGCTGGGTGTTCTGGCTTTTCACCCTGGCTGTGTGACCCTGGCCAAGTCACTTCCCCTCTCTGGGCCTCAGTTTCCTCCCAGAAAATATCAGGATTGGCCCTGGAGACTTTAAGCATTAAGATTCTCTGACTCTATTTTTAAAAAGTTACTGGAAGGGACATAAAATAGAATTCCACTAGCTTTCTGTAAGAGTTGGGAAGCAGCCTGGTGTGGCCTTCCAAGCCCAAGAGACCTGTCTGGATTAAAATCCTGACTGCTACTTGCTAGCTGTGCCACCATGAATATGTTTCCCAGTTTCTCTGAGTCTGGGAAACCTGAATAGAGCACTGGGCATTAGAGAAAGCCCTGGGTTCTAGTCCTGACTCAGCCACTATGTAACCTTGAGCAAATCTCTAATCCCTCAGGATCCTCCTCAGTGGAACGAGGCTGCCTTGCCACCTCCCAGAGTCACCGTGACCATCAAGGAGAGAGCGGCTATGAAGAGTGAAGAGTGCCTTGGGAGTGTGGGATGGTATTATTGCTACCGATATCCAGAGAACCTGTGTTAGGCACAGCAGGGTGACAGCAGCTGCTCCTGACAGTAGAGAGTGGGGGTATTAAGGTAGCCCTGGGGCCTTCAGGGAGTGGACCCGACCCATCCAAAGGCCAGCCTGCTGCCTGGGGTTCAGGGCCTCAGCTGGTCCAGGCCGGTGAACTCTGAGACGCAGTAAGAATCTCCCAGGGGTGGATCTGGGTGTCTAGGGGTCAAGAGTGGGAGGGTGACTTTTACACACACACACACACACGAATATATCACTTTGTACCTCTGAGTCTTGTAAATATTTTACTTATTAAAAATTAATTACAGAGAATCCCTGAGGTCTTCAGGCAATGACTGTCAACACAGCCATCTGCGCTCGCGCCCTAAACCTCACACCCAACCTCTGCTCCCAATGCCAAAGGGGAAGAGAGAGGCGCGGGGTGAGGGGGGTGAGGAGGTTGAGGGGAGGACGGGGCTTGTCCAGATAGTGCTGCCCAGATCTCCCTCCCAGATCCAGAGGCCGCTCACTTCTCTTCGTCTTCGCAGCTACATCTTCTGTCACTGAGACAACACACACTTGAGAGAGATCTTCCTGCTCTATCTCAGCTGCCCCAAACCATGCCCCACACTGCAGCCAGAGGGATCTTCTGACTGTGTGCCTCTCTCCTCCTGAAACCCTTTGATGGCTCTCATGACCATATAATTCACTAATAGGGACACTTGTGAGAGTGAAAAAGGGTGCTATCAATAATTAGGCCAGGACAACAGGCATAAACTGGGATTGTCCCAGGCAGCCCAGCATACAGGATCACCCTTCATATTAAGGATCTGGGCCCTGCCTGCCTCCTTCGTTCTCCCACTTCGTACCACACTGACATTCTTTGCAATGCCTTAAACACATCCTTAAATAACTACTCTTATGCTATTCCTGGTAACCCCCTACATCCCATGCCCTTCATGTCATTAGCTCCTACTCCTCTTTTATGTCTCAACTGAAGTAGTCTCTCCTCCACCCAGACTAGGACAGGGCCCCTGCTGGATGTTCCCACAGCTCGCTGCGCATGCCCAGTGTAGCACACAGCACACATTACTACTCCTCGTTTCCCGTCTGCCATCTCACTGCAGACACTGCCCGCTTGTCCACTGCACAGCAGGCACTCACTCAACACTTATCGGATAGGCAGTGGATCAGCAAATGGATGAATGAATCTCAGTGCACCACGTGCTAGCAGTGTGACCTTGGGCAAGTAACTTAACCTCTCTGAGCTATAGGTCAATCTCTAGAATGGGGATAATTAATATTTATCTCACTGGAATGTTATAAAGATTAAATGAGACACATGAAATGCCTGGCACACAGTAGTGCTCAGCAAGCATTACTGGAACGTGAAGAGCAGCGGGCACCGTTCATTTGGCACTGTTTACTGCACTCGTGAGCTACTGGTGTGCTGTTCACTCAGGCGAAGCTTGCCTGCTAACTGGCTAACAAGCCCTTGAAGACAGGGATCTTATGTGAAGCTTCTCTGTTCCTCGCTGTGCTTCTCCCAGCTTTGTCCCTGGCAGGTACTTGGTGCTGGACACGAGGTATGTGACACTCCATCCACCTTGAAGTCCAGTGTCTTGGAAACTTCTTGAAGACTTCCAGCCCAGTGTTGTACTACCATCTCTTCCAAGAGAGCTCCCGGCTGTAGGAGTCTACCTCCCACCTATAATAACCGCTCTCCTGCCCCAAGTGCTCACAGCCTGGACGTCTACATATGGCCCCACGCTGTCTACACGTGTGACCTCAGAATAGTTTTCTGCTTGTTGCAAGCATAAGAGATCCATAGAGCACCGGTGTCAGAGAAAACCAGGGCCAACCCAGCCTTGTCTCTCCAGCTCCTACTGGGACTGTATCTGCTCCTTCCAGTGTGTCCCCAGGGCACCTAGCACAGCATGGGACATTTAGTACATGCTTAAAAACACTTGTTGAATCAATGAATGAACAAAGGAATGAATGAATGAATTAGAGCCAGTATTGCAGAGTGTTAAGAACAAATGCTTTGAAATTAGCCTCAGGCTTGAATCTTGACTGTACCACTCAGTGGCTGAGAGAACTGGGCAAGTAACTGAACTTCACTATGCCTCAGTTTCCTTATCTGTAGAAAGAGAATATTGAAAGTACCTACCCCATATGGTTATTATGCCAATAAAATAAGATGATGTATACACAGCACTTAGCACAGTGCCTAAATTTTCAAATGTTAGCAACTATTGTTAATTATTGTATACTTATAGAATAGTACCTGACCCATTATGTTATTATTATTATATATTGTTACTGTTATTATTTAATAATGAACCAATGATTGGAGGTTGGGATACTGGAGACCACTGGCCTGGACTAATGGCTTTCTAGTTATGTTCCCTCACTGCCTTCTACCATTTCTGAGATGCAGGCAGGTCTAAGGGACACGACTCAGGGGAGAAAAAGAATAAATGCCCTCCCTGGCACTTTCCAAATGAAAAGGCAGGTAGAGCCAGCAGGAAAAGCAATCCTTGGCTGACTCCTGCATACACAACTGACCTCTGACCCCGGGTGCATCTTCAGTGGGGCTGACAGGCCAGTCAGATGTGATGCAGGGCTAGAAGGGCCATGAGCAGCTAAGGCACACAGCTTTTCCCTGTGCCAAAGTAGCTGGCCCAGTTGCTATGTCCACTTCCCACATGCATGGCTTCATTAGGAGCCACCCCAGACAACTAGCCACCAGGGACCAAAATGGGCAGTAGCAGTCCTAGGCCATCTGGGTCAATCAGCCCCAAGGGTCTGACCTCAATAGAGAGGAACTTGGCTCTTCCCTCCTCTGAGCTTCCAGGGGATGCGTGCGGGCAGGAACTGCTGCAGGCTGCCCTCAGTTGTCTAGGTTCAGGGAGGTGGTATTAGACAGAAGGCAGGGAAGAGCAGAGGGGCTGAGGCTGCTTGGGCAGCTGCCAGCAGACACACACTGATTGCACAGGCGCCTGTGACATCTCCTGGTCCAGGGTGCACAAGCGCACTGCAAAGCATGGGGCGGCCTCCCCATCCAGCCTTCTGCCCTGCTCACCCGCTGCAGAAACTCCGTGCGCTCCTTCTTCTTGTTCCGGCATCGGGCCGCTGCGACTTTGTTCTTCTCCCGGCGCCTTTTCCTCCGCTCCTCTTCCTCATCTAGCTGTGAGGGCACAGAGCCACCGATTAGACAGTGAGGCAGGCCTGGAGTGCAGCTTCTCTCCTGACACACACACAGAGGGACCGTTCTCCCTCCCTAAACCACATCTCGGCAGAAAGCCAGCAGTCCTTGGCTTCCAGCCACTGGCTGGAGAGAAGGATATGTGTCCCAGCCAGTCCAAGGATCCTCTCGGGGTAGGTGGGCATCCCAAGGAGGAGTCTGGGTCCCAGAAGGGCAGGGCTGCCTGGGTTCTGCCACAGTTCAGCAGGCCTAGAGCCTGGCAAGTCTACCCACATAGAGGTGGCACCAATGGGCGGTGATGACCTGTTCTCCTGCCCAGCCCAAGTCCTCTGGGCACGATTTTCCAGGCCAGTGGTTCCCAGGCACTTCCTTTAAAAATGCCTCAGGCCTGGACACAGGTTTCACATTCTGCCCCTACCCTTTCCAGCTCCCTAACTCCCTTTGCCCTTCCCTCTTACCCTCTGTTGAGATTTTAAACCTTCACTGCTCCTCCACACCTGCTATTCCTCCCTCCTGGTCCTTCCAAACATGTGGTCTTCTCCTTTTGCTGCTAAACTGTCTCCCCAGCCTCTTCACCTGCTGTGATCCTCTTCCTTACCTTTGCATATGCTTCCCCCCAGGAGACCCACTAGAGAGAGCTGGAGGATCCCAGGGCACAATCCAGACACCTCCAGGGTCTCCAGGCTTGTTTCTCCCTCAGCACATTTTAAAACATTCACCATGCATGAAACAGGGCCCACTACATGGGGAGGGGGAAACTCACTGCTCGCCTACATTGACTTTGAATCAAAGTCACAGTTATTATTGTTTCATTAGTAATAAAAAGAAGAGCTGCCATCTGTTGCCTACTTTGGTAAATGCTTTAAATACATGTCATTTAATCCTCACAGTCAAAGTCCTATGAGGAAGATACTAAAACTGTTCCATTTTACAGATGGTAAGACTGAGGCTCAACAGTTCAATTTGCTCAAGACTGTGCAACTAGCCACAAAACTAGGAAACGGCAGAGCCAGGATTCAAACTCAGATTTCTCCAGCTTCAAACTTACTGTTCTTGACCACAGGCCCACACTGCCGCAGTCCATCAGGAGTACCTTGGTGTGGCACCTATTGCTGTCCATTACCTATCAGGAAAATCTGGAGGATGTGTAGAACCAGCTGGTCTGGGGACAGCCCAGAGTCAGAGGCCACTGGAGAAGTCATTGGATTGCCCTGGGTTTGCCAACTCTCTCACTTCTTGAGCTGGGCAGTGGTGATGGGGGTGAATCTGGCAGCCTGAGGCCTGGAACAAGGTCTCCACGCAAAGGGCTATAGGCCAGGAAAATAAACAGCCTCTCTCCCTGCACACTCCCAGCATGCTCTAGGAGCTCAGGATGGACAGCCTGGGCCTGGGCCCAGCACCTCGGCCATCAGCACAGGCCCTGGCAGGGCAGTCCTCTTTCTCCTACCACCAACTCTGAGCTTCTCCCCGAGCCACTCCCAACCCACCTGGGAGGCTGCTGGAGAGGAGCCTTGTCAACACCACCGCACCCAAGCACCTCCCAGCCCCTTGGCCTCCTTTGAAACTGAACCAGAAGTGACAGCTCCTCTGGCTGACCTGCATCTGGGAAAATAGAAACCTGGCTGAAATGGATTCCGCCCAACCTCAAGCTCACCCCCAACAAGGCCAAGGTGACCGTGACGACAGGCAGAGGGAAGGAACTGGAGGAAGTGGCTGGCAGTGCAATCTCCCCTCGGCCAAGAGGGTTTGCCCACAAACTGCCAAGGTGATGTGTCAGCCTGGGCACCGCCGGGCCTGCAGACCTGCCCCTGAGCGGCCTCAGGAGACACAAACTCTGTCCTCCAAGGCCAGCTCCCACCCCCACCCCTGCACAGGGCCCCATTCCACAGAGAGTTGGGGACACATGGAAGCTCAGCAGCACAGGTGAAGAGCTCAGCACTGACAGGAAAAGTGAACCGACCTACTGGGCCAAAATGGCCCCCAGATGGGGTCTGCTCCCACCCTCTCTCCAGCTGCATCGATCCCACCTGCCATCACCCTCTACTCCAAACGTCTCACCCTTCCCCAAGCCAGCCAGGCCCTCCCAGCCCTGACTGAAATGACCAGCCTTTCCTGCTTGGTAAACTCTTACTCAACCTTCAAGAGTAAATGTCCCCTCCTCCGGGAAGGCACCTTTCACTCCCCAGATAGAATGAACTGCTTTTTCTGTGCTGCTACAACACCGTCAGAGTTTCTACCACATTCCACCACAATCCTTGGTTTACGGAGGTACCTGTCCTCCCTGCTAGTCTGGAGGATGGGGGCTCTGAGCATCCCCAGCACCTGAAACAGAGCATGGCACTTAGTAGGTACTCAACAAATGTTATTCAGATGAATGAAAGGAATAAAGGAGTCCAGAGAAAGACGCCACAGGCTTGGATTCCTTAATTATAAAGTAACTCATTGCCCATGTTTACATCTGCATAACCTTTTCTCCAGCACCTTCTCTGTCTGTAGTAGGCCAGCAAAGCTTGGGGATTAGGTCCTGCCTTCCCCAGGAGCACACTGGCTGAAGGCAGAATCTAGATTCGGGGGTGCAGGCCCCTGATGGCTGTGGCAGGTCTGCATGACTCCTAAGCAGGTCTGGAAAGAATCTGGGATGTGTGCTTAGGCCTAAAGCCCCCAGTTCCACAGCCACCATCAGCTTCCTGGTCCACCTGGGACCTTTCCTGCACTCATGCCCCACCTCGGCTGACCCCTCCTCCCAATAAGGTAAGATATGGCCCCAAAGACCCATGGCCACATCTTCCCCATTGAAACTGTGCCGCATCACCCCTAAATCCTCCTGCTGCTGTTTAAGAGATGCCCAGACGAGATGCAGAAAAAGCTCTTGAGGCCCTAGCAGAAATAAGATAGGGGTTTGGCAGGGCCCCAGCCTTCTCCACCCGCTACTCCTGGCTAACTCAGGCTGGTTTCCCCATGCCGAGTGGTCTGCGCTCCCAACTGCGACCATGTGGGCCTCTCCCCAGCCCTCCTCCAGGCTCTTCTGTTGTCCCCAGAGTCAAAGCTGCTGTCTCCTCCTTCCTGTGCTTCTTGACTTCTCTAAAGCATTTGGACATGAGTGGGTGAGATGGCAGAAAGTGTTTTCACCACACACAGCTCAGACATTTAAAACCAGAACTCAAAAATGGGAGATGACAATTTTTTTCTGCAGATACAGCTGGAGGAACCAGGATGTTACAGGAGGAGGCCGCTTGACACTCAATACATTTAGAGAACCAGGAGATGTGGCCTGCAGGATGGGAGGGGCACATACTCTCCCTTTTCTCAAACGTACTTCTGGCTCTGTTTTATCCCAATTCCCAGGAAGGCCCAAGGGCAAAGCTGTCTGTGTCCTGGCTGAGAGCGGTGCCCTGTGTCACACTTTGCATGGGAGGGAGGGACTTGGGCACCCAGACCAAGAAAGCCCGCGTGTCGACCAGCCCCTCCTCACCCATACCACTCCTCAGAGAGCCTGTTCTCAAGCCCCTGCTGAGGGGCAGGGGGACCCCAGCCCCTGGCCACATCTGACTGGACAATGTGTGAATGGCTGACCTGAGCTGGGTACATTTAAGGAGGTGCACACTCTCAGGGTCACACAAGTGCGAGCCTCCTTAAATGTCATGCCACGGGCACCCCACCAGGTGAATGAAGGAGATAGGCAGACAGAGACAGACACACAGAACACAGAAAGACAAAGATGGGTGGAGAGAGACAAGAGAGAAACACACAGAGACATGGACAGAGGCTGACGGTATAGACAGAGGGACAGATAGTGAACAGACAGAAAGCACACACAGAGAAAGAAACTCTCCCGGTCCTCTTGATTCCACCCCTAGTGAGGCCGGACTCTGCTCCCTGACTTTGGGGTCCATGATGGATACCTCTGCATCCATCCATGGATACTCCTGAAAACTCCTCCTTTGCCCTGGAGGGAGTTTGAGAAGTTTTCTGCCCCTTGCCACTGAAAGATGTCTGGGACACCACGGTTCCACCCTTGCAAAGTCAGGTGATGCCAGGGGCTAATGAAGAAGCAGAAGATGGTCCACAGCAATCCAGGGGAGAAATTCTACCCAAGAGCAATGCTTCTAGAACTGCTGGGAGAGGGACAGAGCCTGAGTGCAGAAGAGCCCGGAAGCTGCAGCCAACAACAGGCAGACAGAGGTGGGTCACCTCGGTTGGTATCAAATCCCCTGGATTAGGGGGTCCCAGCAGAAAACAGATGGTTCATTCAAAGGAGTCCCTAAAGAGAGTTTAATGAGGGAACTACCTAGAGCGGTGAACATAGCTTAGGGAACCCGGAACCAGCAACTGTGAGGAGTCACAACAGCCCAGGCTGAAAGGGCCAACTCAGGGGTGAATACTGGAACTGGGGAGAGTCACTTAGCCATGAGAGAGGATCACCAGACAGAGGAACACAGCCACTGCCCAAAAAGTGCCCAGCAGGAGAGACTGGAGAATGAATGCCCCAGACTCTCTCTGCCCCTGCTGGTGCCTCCCTTTGGCCAAGCCCAACCGGAAGCCAGCATGTAAGGGACCCTGGGTAACGCAGTCCATGGAGATGGGCCACCTGGGGCACAGAGAGGGAAGGATCGGAAGGGATCTGATGGGCAGAGATTATCCCATTAGGGGCTCTGTCTCTGTGATCCACATAGACCCACCCAGTCCTAGCCCCAGCCAGGGCTGGCAGGCAGGAGACAATGCAGTGATGCCAGGAACCCCTTACAGGGATCATGGTCTTCCCGATGGCTAGCACTTACTGAACACCTGCCAGCAGCCAGACCCTGAGGAAAGTGTGGTCCCTGACAGCAGCACCAGCCTGACCCCCCAGCACTTGTTAGAGAGGCAGAATCTCGCTCCCCACCCCAGACCTGCTGAGTCAGAATCTGTGTGTAATACGATTCCCAGATGATGCGCAGGGAAGTTTGCTCTGGGGGCCAGGAGGGGCTGCTTGAGCTTCTCTC